CTGGGCGACAAGAGTGAGACTCCATCTCAAAAAAAGAAAAATACCCATGTGATGGGATGATCAGTGCAGCAAACCACCACAGCACACATTTACCTACGTAACAAACCCGCACAACCTGCACATGAACCCCGGAACTTAAAAGTTGAAGAAANAAAAAAAAAAAAAAAAAAAGAGTTCCTGGGTGATTTTGTTGCACGGCCAGATTTGGGAACCACTGGATGGAACGTGATACAGTCCTGTAAATATTAATCTAAATATTAATTTATTGAGCACTTGGTAAATGTCTGGGTCTGTCCCAAGAACTTTAACAATTTTGTACTATTTAAGCCTCACAAAAACCATATGACACAGATATTATTATTATTCTTCCTATTTTACAGATGAGGAAAATTAGGTAGAGAGGTTAAGTAACTTGCTTAACGTCACATAGTAAGTGGCAAAAGCTGGGTTTGAAAACAAGTAACTGGGCTCTGGGCCCATGAGTGTAACCACTCAGCTATACCTGCCCATACAAATTCTGCATATAAAGTCACTGGCACGCCATGGTGCTTAGTCAGTAATTGCTGTCATTTTTGCTTTTATTCCAGTCTCACCTGTCTCTCAGAATTCAGCTCAAATTCTACCTCTTCCATCACGTTTTCTCTGACTCCCTCTCTTCCTTTCTCAGTGTAATCATAAGTCCTTCAGAGGTGTATTAGACTTTTGGATTGTCTTTTATTTCTGTATTTTTGTTATCATCCTCATTATATTTGTGAGGTCATTCAGAGTAGGGTCACATGGTGTTTATTTTTCTATTCCTGGTACATTTGTTGACCTGAATTTAACATTTTCCCAAATGTGTGATAAGCAGAATCACCACATATCTTTTTTCTATTTTTTTGTTTTGAGACTGAGTCTTGCTCTGTCTCCCAGATTGGAATGTAGGCGTGCGATCTCAGCTCATTGCAACCACTGCCTTCCAGGTTCAAGCAATTCTCCTGCCTCAGCCACCGAGTAGCTGGGATTAAAGGCACCTGCTACCATGTATGACTAATTTTTTTCTATTTTTAGTAGAGACAAGATTTCACTGTGTTGGCCAGGCTGGTCTCGAACTCCTGGCCTGAAGTGATCTGCTTGCCTCGGCCCCTACAAAGTGCTGAGATTATAGGAATGAGCCACTGCTCCCATCCCCAGATTTGTTTAAAAGGAGCTATCTGATTGGGAGTTAACTCAACAGAGAATCACAGAACTTGGATTGCCTTTTCCCTCGGGTTAGAAAATGCAAAACCACACTCCTGAACTTTTTTCTGACTGGAAAGGGATGAACTATCTTAATGTCTTAGGGGTCTTTGAGGCTTTTCCCTGCAGGCTAGGGGAAACCACACTACTGGCATACTTGATTTCTCAATGCAGCTGTTACTTCCTGTCTAGCCACCTCCTGTAAGGCCTGTGTTTGCTTTACCTGGGCTTGCTCCACTGGTTAGCTTCTCCCCAGTTGCAAGACTACCAGATCATAATCAGTCATTATCTCCCATCCTGATGTGTGAAATCTGTTGACTGAATTTAACATTTTCCTAAATGTGCTATACGCAGAATCACCAAATTTCTTTTTTCTCTGAGACTGAGTCACGCTCTGTCTCTCAGACTGGAGTGCAGTGGCGCAATCTTAGCTCACTGCAACCACTGCCTTTCAGGTTCAAGCAATTCTCCTGCCTCAGCCTCCCAAGTAGCTGGGATTCCAGGTGCCCGCCACCACGCCCAACTAATTTTTTTATATTTTTAGTACAGACGAGGTTTCACTATGTTGGTCAGGCTGGTCTCGAACTCCTGGCCTGAAGTAATCTGCTTGCCTTAAGACAGAATTTGTGGGGCCCAGTGCAAAATGAAATGCAGGGCTTCTGTTTAAAATTTATTAATTTAAAGATGATAACAGCAGAGCATTAAACCAAGCAGGGGGCCCCATCCACTATGTGGGTCCCACAATCATGAAGCCAGTTTGATGAAAAAAGGGTTATGCTGGAAGCGGCAGCTCACACCTGTCATCCCAGCACTTTGGGAGGCTGAGGCAGGCAGATCACTTGAAGTCAGGAGTTCGAGACCAGCCTGGCCAACGTGGTGAAACCCTGTTTCTACTAAAAATTCAAAAACTAGCCAGGTGTGATGGCCCACGCCTGTAGTCCCAGCTACTTGGGAGGCTGAAGCAGGAGAATTGCCTGAACCCTGGAGGTGGAGATTGCATTGAGCCGAGATTGTGCCACTGCACTCCAGCCTAGGCAACAAGAGCAAGACTCCATCTAAAAAAAAACCCCCCCAAAACAAAAAAAAAGGTCAGAGCCTTCTCAGCAGACCAAAACCAATCACAGAAAACTGTGTGTGGGGACAATTTATTTCCAAAGTCCTCAACCTCTCATCTTAATATGAAGACAGCTGAGAAAGAAACCACCCTAGGCCGGGCGCGGTGGCTCACGCTTGTAAACCATCCACTTTGGAGGCCAAGGCGGGTGGATCACCTGAGGTCGGGAGTTCAAGAAACAACCCTGTATTCTGTGTTATATCAAGGTTGACTATTGCAGGCTGAATTGAGTCCTCCAAAGAGATGCTGAAGTGCTAACCCTCAGTACCTGTGAATGTGGCAGTACTAGAAAATAGGGCCTTTGCAGATGATCAAGTTAAGATGAGGTTACTAGTGTGGGTCCTAATCCACTACGACTGGTACTCTTCTGAAAAGAGGAAATGTGGACACGCAGCCAGCCATGCCCACAGGGAAGATGATGTGAAGAGACCTACACAAGGAGAACCCACGAGAAGATGAAGGCAGGTTGGGTGATGCTTCTATATGCCAAGGAACGTCAAAGAGTGCCAGCAAACCACCAGGATAGGAGAGGGGCCTGGAAAATTCTCCCCGAAGGCCTCAGAAGGAACCAACCCGGCCGACACCTTGATCTCAGACTTCCAGCTTCCAGAACCAAGACAATACATTTCTGTTTCTTCAGCCAGCAGTCGCCAACCTTTTTGGCACCAGGAACCAGTTTTGTGGAAGACCAGGGGTGGGGTGGGGGGATGGTTTCAGGATGACCCGAGCTTTACATTATTGTGCACTTTATTTCTATTATTATCACATGGTAATATATAATGAAATAATTATACAACTCACCATAATGCAGAATCAGTGGGAGCCCCGAGCTTGTTTTCCCACAACTGGATGGTCCCAGTGGGGGATGATGGGAGACAGTAACACCCAAAGTATGAGGCTTATGTTGAGTCTATTCATTTTGGTGGCTGTCACTGCAGAAAACCCTGCTTCGCAGAGACAGGATGTTGCAATAGGCCAGGCGTGGTGGCTCACACCTGTAATCTCAGCACTTCTGGAGACCAAGGCAGGTGGATCACTTGAAGCAAGGAGTTCAAGACCAGCCTGACCAACACAGCAAATCCCCATCTATCTCTACTAAAAATACAAAAAATATATAGCCAAATGTGGTAGTGCATGCCTGTAATCCCAGCTACTCGGGAGACGGAGACATGAGGCACAAGAATCCCTTGAACCAGAGAGGCAGAGGTTGCAGTGAGCCGAGATTGTGCCATTGCACTCTAGTCTGGGCTACAGCTTTAGACCCTGTCTCAATTAAAAAAAAAAAAAAAAAAAAAAAAAAAAAAAAAAAAAAAAAAAAAAAAAAAAAAAAAAAAAAACAAAAAAAAAAAAAAAAAAAAAAAAAAAAAAAAGGATGTTGGAAATGGAAGCAGGCTTTTCAGTGCCTTTGTGACCATCTCAGGATTCTCTGCCTAGACTTTAATCCAGAACATGTGGAGAGCTGAAGTTGTCTCAAACATACTTTGAAGGCCACCAGATGCAGCTGTACAACTGAAGTACATACACTCACTTGCCACTATAAAGTCTGCCACAAGATGCAGCTTGTCACTTGCCACTCACTGATAGGGTTTTGAGGTGAGCCTGCAAGCAATTGATTTAGGATGGTCTCTGTGCAGTGAAACCTCTCTGCTAATGTTAATCGATCTGCAGCCACTCCCAGCACTAGCATCACCACCTCAGCGCCACTCCCATCATCAGTCAGTAAACTCCTGTACGGAGCACAATCTAGTTCTCTCGCATGCACAGTTCACAATAGGGACCGTCTCCTATGAGAATCTAATGTGACCTGATCTATCAAGAGGCAGCGTTCAGGTGGTAATGTAGCGATAGGGAGCAGCTGTAAATACAGATGAAGCTTCGCTGGTGGCTCACCTCCTGCGGTGCCACCTGGTTCCTAACAGGCCAGGGACTCTTAGGGGTCCGTGGCCTGGCGGGGGGCTGGGGACCCTGTCTTAACCCATCCAGTTTGTGGCACTTTGTTATGGCAGCTGCAGCAGGTGAACAGGCCCACCAACCAGACCAGGCTCCTTCTGTTACCTTCCTGCCCTTGCCAAGCTCCTGACAACACCTGAAAAAACAGATGTCCCAACGGGGTTGGAACAAGGAGGGGGCCGGGGCAATGTCAGTTTTGTTTTTCAACTTTTTTTTTTCCTACAGAGGAGGAGGGAATGCCTACAATAGAGAGGCCTTTGTGGTCCCACTTCAGGAATGAGCGAACCCTGCCCTCCTTGTCTCAGCCCCAATAAAGGGTGCATGTGTATCTTATAAAGTGATGCCCTTTTGGGAGGGACTCCCACTGTGAGCAGGGCTGTGGCTGACTTGTCAATCATCATAAAGGTGATGTCCCAAACGTGCAAGTCTGAAGCCCGCGGAAACTGGCAACAGCTGCCTGGATGCCTCCATCCTCCCAGCCCAAGGAAGATCGGGCCTCGCTCCTTCGTTGTCCTTCTTATGAGCACGTGATGTTCTCCTGGGTGGACTTGCACACGGGTCGCCCACCTGTTCTTTGAGGGTCGGGTGGAGGGGCTTCCCCTGTAGGACGGGCTTCCCCCGTAGGTTCCATGTGGGGCCACCTGAGGCAGGAAAAGGGGAAGTGGGCACTGGCACCTGGGGTGAGAAAGGGCGGGGGTGCAGCTTTGTGAGGAAACAATTTGCAGAGACTGCTAAACTGGGGTCTGCTGGGACACACCACTCCCCACCCCCTGCCTCGGGCGCCCTCAGTCACCCGAGCTGGGGGCCCCGCAAATCTCAGGCCAAGGCCCCGCGCCATCCGCGCGGTCTGCAGCGCACCCAAACATGGCCGCCAAACCCAGGTTCCCGGGGCGCAGCCGAGCCTCAGGGTGACGCAGCCGCGGCGGGTTGCATCAGCCCGCGACCACGTGCATGGTCCGCCCTCTGCCTCCCGGGTCCGGACGCCGATTGGGCCACGTTAGGACAGTGTCTCCGCCTCAGCCAATGGGCGGCAGCCACAGAGGGTTCTGTCCGCAGAGCCGGGCGCGGGAAGCCTATAAAAGGCTCCCGAGACGGGGGCGCGCGCCCCAGAGACGCCAACAGTCGTTGCGGAGTTTGCGGGCGGCTGCGACGCCGCCTGCCTGGCACCTCGGAGCGCAGCTGAGCCCCGACACAGCCGCCGCCATGGAGTCCGAGCCCGATCCCGAGCCCGTCACGCTCCTGGTGAAGAGCCCCAACCAGCGCCACCGCGACTTGGAGCTGAGCGGCGACCGCAGCTGGAGCGTGGGCCACCTCAAGGCCCACCTGAGCCGTGTCTACCCCGAGCGTCCGGTGAGAGCCGCCCCAACTTCCCGCCCCGAGGCGGTGGCCCCCAGCCCTCCGCTAGGGACGCCACGTCCGCCTGCCCTGCCCTGTGGCCTCCCCTCCGCCGGCCTCCCCCAGACGGCTGAGTTCGCCCGGTCGGTCACGTGCCCCAGGGCTCTGGTCTCCCCTTCCCTGCCCCGCCGCCGCGGGCGCTCCTCTCTTGCCCAGGGACCGTCACTAATCAGCAGCCTGACCTTGGGCGAGTCGTTTCACCCTCCAAGCCTGCTTGCCCCCTGCGGTCAGGCAACTCGGTTTTCCTAACTGGGCTTGCACCCAATGGCTACGAGTAAGAAAACGTCCGTGCTGCAAAATGAGGGTTGTGAACGCAGCCTTCCCGCGGGGAGAGAAGTGGGCAGGTGCCACCCGGGGCCGTGGCTTGAGAAACCTGGGGCGCGCCCAGACACTGTGGACGGAAGGCCCCACACCCAGAAGCAGGACGTGGCTCTTCCCCTCCCTGTCCACCTTCCGCCGGGCCCCTCCCTGTCGCACTGGACCGCGCAGCCGTTGCCGAGTCCCGGGGTGGAGCCCCGTGCACTTTCTGGCCAAGAGCGACTGATAAGGGAAGCAGGCAGGAGTCGCCGTCAGTCTGGTTTTAGGACGGCAGCCTCTCGATTATTAGCGAGACTTCCTTGCTTTGTTTTGGTTGACACATCTGTCAGCCTCACCCTTAGCACCGCCTGCCCTGGCCGCCACGTGATGAGGCTGTAAGCTGGCCCTTCCTGTATTTACTTTCTGCTCCGATATTATGTAAGTGTCAGCAGTGTTCTTCACTGCCCACGAGCATAATTCTCCATCACACAGGAGAGGGCATCCAGGCAGGAAAAGATCGTGTAACCGTGAGTTCCAACTTTTGGTTGGAACTCACCTGTGTCTGTTTTTGTTCCATGTGGTCAAGAAGGTAGAAGTGAGTTTTCCTTCTGAGTTGTTATTTTGAAATTTGCATATTTATTTAGTAAGGGTGTATTCCATGTCCTGTGGAATTCACCCGGGTACACTTTTCGGTTTCACCAGAGCTGCGTCCAGAAACTGGGTGGCTGTGTTGCCATGAGAATGTCTGTTGGGTACACAAATTGGTGCAGCAGGTGTTGCCTGTGGTTGCATCACATGGTAAAAGGCAGGGTTTCGGAGAAGGGTTTTTTTTTAAGGGCTTGCTTTGGTGAGGGACGCCACTCCCATCTCTTCAGTCTGAAGACCTAAGATTGTAAACAAATACCTCTCAGGTATACAAATTTGTATATTAGGGCTGAAACATATTTATCATTTGTTTCCTGTGGTAGAAAATGGTATACTGTGAGAAGCCCTACTTTGTAATAGTTGTGCTTAATTTTTTCTCAAATCGGCCATCTGCGTGAAGACTCAATGTCAAGTTAGGCCTTTAAAAGGGGGAAAATAATTCAAAACCACTGGCAGCTGTGGTTTTCAAGCCTTTTCTAGCGGTTGAACTCTGTAATAAACGCAGGACCATACATATATAATAGATACTGTTTTACAAATTCATGTATAAGCATTTACCTTTAAAGTTCTCACCTGTCAGTGAGAAAAATGGTGAACACAGCATTCAGTATATTTTGGTTTAGTTACAGTGTCAAAAAGTCCTGATGTATATGGATAAGTAGATGGACTTTTGGCTTTGTTTGTTTTAAACAGCTTGCTTTAATTATCTCAAGCTAGTTGGCAGGAACATCTTTATTCCAGGTTTTGCATAATCAGTTATCCTGGCAAGAGTAGATTTACACGTTGCTGATCGCCAATGGATAGATTATATGTTAATATTTGAGGCCATTACTTTTAAGTACAGTTTAGAAGTTTCAAAGAGATTTTTTATTTTTTTATTTATTTTTGTTGTTGTTGTTGTTGTTTTGAGACGGAGTTTTGCTCTTGTTACCCAGGCTGGAGTGCAATGGCACGATCTTGGCTCACTGCAACCTCCGCCTCCTGGGTTCAGGCAGTTCTCCTGCCTCAGCCTCCCGAGTAGCCAGGACTACAGGCACACGCCACCATGCCCAGCTAATTTTTTTGTATTTTTAGTAGAGACGAGGTTTCACCATGTTGACCAGGATGGTCTCCATCTCTTGACCTAGTGATCCACCCGCCTCGGCCTCCCAAAGTGCTGGGATTACAGGCGTGAGCCACCGCGCCTGGCCTCAGAGAGATTTTTTAAATGAGATTTGTATAAAAGAGTGTGCATGTGCAGTCCCTATGGCGTTAAAATCGCTGATATGGAGGGGAAGAGGGTTTGGAATTGTGACACTGTGGCAGCAGATGACCTTGGACAAGTCAATTTTTCAGACTTTCCCCCCTTAAAGTAAGGATACTGAATCTCACAGGGTTGTTGTGTATAATGTCACCCACACACCATTTCCTCTATAACTGCATTTGTATGCCAAGAAATCCTCTATGAAGGCTTAAGTTTAGAATAGCTTCATATTATTTTGGGGCACTGCTAGGTGGTTTTGGTGAAGGCTAGCCTTGGGAGTACTCTGAGTTTTTTCTGAAACCAAACTCAGCTGCTGTAGGAGCCCTGTTTGCTGTTTGTTGTTGTTATGAAAAATCAGTAATGAAAATCAGTTTACCTGGGAGTTAAGAAGTATGTTGCCCTACATAGGTTTGGACTGGAGATAATTTACCTTTTTTTTTTTTTTTTTTTTTGACTCACTCTTTCACAAGGCTGGAGTGCCGTGACACAATTTCAGCTTACTGCAACCTCTGCTCCTCAGTTCAAGTTGAGATAGAGTCTCAGTCTGTCACTCAGGCTGGAGTACAGTGGCATGAGCTGGGCTCACTGCAGCATCTGCCTCCCGGGTTCAAACAATTCCCCTGCTTCAACCTCCCGAGTAACTTGGATTACAGGTGCAAGCCACCATGCCCAGCTAATTTTTGCATTTTTAGTAGAGGCAGGGTTTTACCATGTTGGCCTGGCAGGTCTCGAACTCCTGACCTAAGGTGATCTGCCCACCTTGGCCTCCCAAAGTGCCTGGATTACAGGCATGAGCCACCGTGCCCAGCCGATAATTTGCCATTCTGTATTTATTTGCATGTTAGAGACCAGTTAGATACTTTCTAAATAGAAGTTTTGTATATGGAGCCTTTGAAAAAGTTTTCCCGTGATGCTGGGGGGAAACATACATATTCAAATTATTTGTATAAAACAGTTTATTCTGTGTTTGGGAACTTCTGGGAGTGAAATGCTGACCTTTGTTACTCTTTCTTTCCATGATCAGCATCCAGAGGACCAGAGGTTAATTTATTCTGGGAAGCTGTTGTTGGATCACCAATGTCTCAGGGACTTGCTTCCAAAGGTACATCACTTAAACATTAATTTCTGAATGTTTTTAAGCACTCACCAGGTTAGGTTCAGGTCCTTAAGTACCTTCTTTTTACTTTTAGCAGGAAAAACGGCATGTTTTGCATCTGGTGTGCAATGTGAAGAATCCTTCAAAAATGCCACAAATCAGTGCCAAGGTGTGTCTGCTTCTTCATGATGATAACAGTTTGCATCATTCAAACTTTTAAGGGATTAAGAAGTTTGATAAAACTGTTATTGAGAGACTGTATGACGTTATTACCAAGTAATATTTTCATTCTTTCCTAGGAATTAGAAACTGTATTATCAACACAGTGACGGGTTAATGTAGCAAATTGTTCCATTAGCACTGTAGTAGAAAAGTGGAGTTAGGAGTTACATATTGCACTATCTTCTGGGATGTGATTTGATCTACGGTTACTTCGTATCTAGATTACTGAACTAACACTAATTGGGTTTTTATTGAATTTAGCACATAGGAGGTTTCTTCAAAGGAACCATTAATTTTTTTTTTTTTTTTTTTTTGAGACGAAATCTTGCTCTGTCACCCAGCCTGGAATGCAATGGCATGATCTCTGCTCACCACAACCTCTGCCTCCTGGGTTCAAGCAATTCTCCAGCCTCAGCCTCCAGAATAGCTGGGATTATAGGCACGTGCCACCATGCCTGTCTAATTTTTTGTATTTTTAGTAGAGATGGGGTTTCACCATGTTGGCCAGGGTGGTCTCAAACTCCTGACCTCGTGATCTGCCCACCTTGGCCTCCCGAAGTGCTGGGATTACAGATGTGAGCCACCACGTCTGGCTGGAGCCATTAATTTTTATAAAGAGTATAAAAGTGAATATATTTCCTTTGGAAATTTTCATTGTAATTAGTTGGATAGGAAAAGGTCAGAGCCTTTATCAAGTGATCAATAAAGAATTTTTCTTTTAAGTTGGTCTCACTGTGTTGCCTAGGCTTTTCTCAACCTCCTGAGGGCAAGTGATCCTCCCACCTCAGCCTCCTGAGTAGCTGGGACTAGAGGCATGTGCCACTGGACCTGGCTCTAAAGACTCATATATGACAGACAAAAGCATTTATTTTTCATTTTACAATGTTTATTCACATATACGGTATTAGTATTCTAATGGAGTGATGCATTCTAAATTTGTATTATATTTCCTAAAATATCTGAACAGAACATAGGAAATTCCCTATTTTGCCATTATCAGATCTAACAAAAATCTTAAAGGCACTTTATCGTTTCATTTCCATATACTGTAATTTTTAAAAGATGATCAAAAACAGTATCATACCAAGACGGACTTGTATTGGAATACTATTTTAGAAAGTTGTGGGCTGGGTTATATTTATAAATCTTGTTGGTCAAATTTCTGCGATGAGCAAACTTAACAGCATTATCAGAAAGCTTTCTCACCAATGATAACTTCATTGGAAGATTTTAATGAAAGTGTAGCATAGTTACTCTAGAGAAAAATATGAATACTTTAGTATCTGTGTTGAAAATTGTGTTGACTAAATGTCAGAATATTTTTTACAAAATGTTGCTTCTATTTAATATTGTCATGTTCAGAGGTGGAGGGTAGGAGACATAAGCCATTGACAGCAAAATAATTTTTTTCGCTTGATTTCAGACAGTTGCATCAGCTCCTTTTTTCTGTGTTCATGTTACACTTATTTAGGTGGCTGAATCCACAGAGCAGCCCACTGGTTTTAATCAGGGACAGTATCCTGGGGATTCCTCAAATGATGATTTAAGGCAAAGGGAAGTTTTTCGGAACCTTTCTTCCCCTGGATGGGAAAACATCTCAAGGTGAGCGTTATAGTAACTTGGACTATACAACATGAGTGTGCCTCATTTGCATCAATTTAAGAATAAGGTGTGTTTACATGTATATAATCAGAACTTTTAAATGTATAGAATTTTGCTTTATAAATAGCTTCACTTTAAAGAGCTCATATATTTAATATACAGACTTTTAGCATACACAAATTTTTAAAGTTGGCAATGCATGTATTGAAAAAAGAAAATGTAGGCGTTTTATCCTTCCATTGTGCTGACCACTTGGTTGCTGTCATGATAGGAAATGAGTGCTGCTGCAGGAAAAAACAGCTGCTGTAAGCATTGTGCAGCTGCTTTGCTGAGTGGCTTTGTGCTTTATTGTAACAATGGGTGACAACAAGGGAGAGACTGTTTAAGAAGTGTTCCTCCAAAGACTTGGGGGCACTAGGAAAATTGGACATATATTTATAACTACTAAAGCTTTTCTTTAGAGCAAAAGTCGGAACTAAATGCTCTGTTATTTGGATTTGTATAGCTCTTAGAATACCTTGTTTTATGAAGGTACTTTAGGGGAAAAAATTCGTTAACCACAGGTTGAAATTCTGTAACTCTCCAATTACCTGTCCCCCTTTTCCTAGAAGTTTTTATATGCAATATTTTCTAAAGCCAGGTGTTTTAGGAATTCGTTTATTTTTTTTCCCCTTAATGGAACTTTCAAATATGCAAATATACACAGCAGTGGGGACCGTATAATTAATACCCACACCATCCACCCAGGCCTAAGAAATAATGTTCAGAGTTTTACCATATCTCATCTATTACCCTTTTCCTTTTTTTTTTTTTTTTAAGTTTTTGATGGTAATTCCCAGACATCATTTCATACTTATATATACTTCAATATTTAACTTTAAGGGCCTTTTCATTATCTTGTGTATCTAGAATGCCATTATCAAATCTAACAAAAATCTTAAAAGCACTTTATCATTTCATTTCTATGCATTGTAGTTTTCTTAAATGATGAAAAACAGTGTCATACCAAGGATTACCTGTATTGGAATACTATTTTAGAAATACTCTGTATGGAATTTAGTTAAAAGATTGTCAGTCCGGGTGCGGTGGCTAAAGCCTGTAATCCCAGCACTTTGGGAGGCCGAGGCGGGTGGATCACGAGGTCAAGAGATTGAGACCATCCTGGTCAACACGGTGAAACCCCGTCTCTACTAAAAATACAAAACATTAGCTGGGCATGGTGGTGCGTGCCTGTAATCCCAGCTACTCAGGAGGCTGAGGCAGGAGAATTGCCTGAACCCAGGAGGCGGAGGTTGCGGTGAGCAGAGATCGCGCCATTGCACTCCAGCCTGGGTAACAAGAGCGAAACTCCGTCCCAAAAAAAAAAAAGATTGTCAGCATATAAGTTGGATAATTATTGGATAGAAAATTATTGATTAGAAAAACTTAAAACTGCGTCCGTTATTCTGATTCAACTATTCTTGAGAATTGAAGGCCGTATTTGACTCCCTGAATTTCACCATATTTAAACTTGATTTCATTCAACAAATATTTATTGAACAGCCAGTACATATAACTTTGCTTAAGGATACAAGCTGACCTGCAGGAATGGCCACATAACCAATTCCTGATCTTCCGGCAATTCTATTATGACTTCAATTTTGTGATGTGCTACCAAAGAAGTTCACTGTGTAAGAAGCACAAACCCAAAGATGGCTCGCATACACCTGCCTGACAAAGTTGAGGGCTGTGTGGCATGATTAAAGAGGCGTGCATTTGACATCAGACCAGCTCTGAAATCCAGCCCTGCTACTTATTAGCTCAGTGACCTTGTGCAAAGCCCCTGTCTTCCCTGCGCTATACTTGGGCTCCACTTGTAAAAATCTCCTTCATGAGATTGCTGTGGATCTAGCAGCCTGTACAGGACCCCAGGTGGTCAGTATGCATGCACAAGTGATGACATGCACACATCACTATAGATTCAGATCTAGGGAACAAGTGGCTATTGGGAAGATGGGAGAGACTTCCTTCCGGAAAGACTGGGAGAAATGTGGCTTTTGAGCTGTTCTCTAAAAGATAAACAGTGGGTTGAGACCTGCAGTGAGACTCAGCAAGTCAGAAATGGTTGGGATCTACTTAACCCGAAAAGGTGGTTTATATATCTGTGCACTAAGCAAGCAGCTGGCAAGGGCTGCTGTTTTCCTGTGGGATCAAACCATGGTAGGAGGGCTGTGTTATTCGGCAGCTTCTGTGCTGGCGGTACATGGGTGCCTCATATAGTCCTTACCATGTAACTGCCATAAATCCCGTTGTTCTGTCTCTTTGATTTGAATTAATGATTTTAATTTAAACTTAGTTTTCATTTGTTTATACTCAACCCACTCAAAATGAATGTTTTTAAAAATCTATGTATAGGCCTGAAGCTGCCCAGCAGGCATTCCAAGGTCTGGGTCCTGGTTTCTCCAGTTACACACCCTATGGGTGGCTTCAGCTTTCCTGGTTCCAGCAGATGTATGCACGACAGTACTACATGCAATAGTGAGTCCTTCCTGGCATGCTGGGTGTGGCCAGGGCTCCTGGGAATTGAGGGAAATTTTATCCAAGTTATCTGTAAAGTTCAGAATGGAGGGATGAATGTATTTTCATCAGTCTGCAGAGTCCTGCTCTGTTTGGTCTGTGGGTGGAGTAGAGTGTAAATGACAACTGCTACCTGATTTGTGTATTAAAGAGGATGCAGTTTAGTTACTTTATTTAGAACATGTTACTTTCTTTTCAATTTGTGAGGATTTTAATTTGCTACTGTGCCATAATCTTACAGTGGCCTTGATGTTTAATTCTAGGTGAAATTCACCATGTGGCTTCTCTTAGAAAAGGAATTTATAGATTAGTAAGGAAGTTCTTCACTAAAAGAAAAATGCATATCTACCTACTTAAAATTCTTAACAGTAAAAGACTACTGTGTAAATAAGGTTATGAGAGCCACAGACTTCACGGTGCCTTGCTCTTTGCTCAACAGTATCTGCCTCTATCATTTTTATTTTAGTTTAGTGGCCACTGCTGCATCAGGGGCTTTTGTTCCACCACCAAGTGCACAAGAGATACCTGTGGTCTCTGCACCTGCTCCAGCCCCCATTCACAACCAGTTTCCAGCTGAAAACCAGCCAGCCAATCAGAATGCTGCTCCTCAAGTGGTTGTTAATCCTGGAGCCAATCAAAATTTGCAGATGAATGCACAAGGTGGCCCTATTGTGGAAGAAGATGATGAGATAAATCGAGATTGGTTGGATTGGACCTATTCGGCAGCTACATTTTCTGTTTTTCTCAGTATCCTCTACTTCTACTCCTCCCTGAGCAGATTCCTCATGGTCATGGGGGCCACTGTCGTTATGTACCTGTAAGTAGATGGTTTCTGTGATACGAATTACACTATACAGTGTTCACACTAAATGCAAATTTTGCTTTTTTTTTTTGAGACTGAATCTCGCTCTGTTGCCCAGGCTGGAGTACAGTGGTGCCTCCATGAATGGCTAATTTTTGTATTTCTAGTAGAGATGGGCTTTTGCCACATTGACCAGGCTGGTCTCAAACTCCTGACCTGAAATGATCTGCCCACCTTGTCCTCCCAAAGTGCTGGTATTACAGGCATGAGCCACTGCACCTGTCCAGATTTTGCTCTCTTTTGAGCAGTCTCAGTTATTATAAGAGGAGGTATGTTTAAATAGTATGTCATTCTGTGTCCGGGTGCAGTGGCTCACATCGGTAATCCCAGCACTTTGGGAGGCCGAGGCAGGAAGATCACATGAGGCCAGGAGTTTGAGACCATCTAGCTAACATGGTGAAACTCCATCTCTACTAAAAATACAAAAAATTAGCCAGGTGTGGTGGTGCATACCTGTAATCCCAGCTACTTGGGTGGGTGAGGCAGGAGAATCGCTTGAACCCAGGAGGTGAGGCTGCAGTGAGCTGAGATCGCACCACCGCACTCCAGCCTGGCTAACGGAGCAAGACTCTGTTTTAGAATAAATACATAATAAATAGTATGTCATTCTAGCACTTCCAGTACAAAGAATTCATGGCTTGGTTGTATTGTCCCCTGAACATATCCTGTATTAATATAAGAATATTCTCTAGTTCTCTAGATAAGTCACCTTACCTTCTAGGCTCATGAACCACAATTATGTAGCCATACTGAGGCATGGAACAGAAATTTGTATTTGTTTTGAATAAGAACATATTTGCCTTTATCAGTCCACAGCCGCTTTCCAGGGTAAAGGTCAGGCACTGACTGTTGGCATAGCCCTGAAAGGCCAGGGAACCTTTACAGACCTGACATTTGACTTTAGCTGTGGCCCAGAGTAGTGATTCTCACCCGGGGATGGTTTTGCACCCTCTCTCCCCAGGGAACATTTGGCAACGTGTAGATATTTTTGGTTGTCATATCTAGGGACGCGGTCCTGCTGTTAATCTAGTAAGTGGAAGCAAGAGTGCTGCTAAATTTTCTACAATGCACATGACAACTCCCACAGTAAATATTTGGCTCAATATGTCCCTAGCACCAAAGCCGAGAAAGTCTGGCTTAGAGTGATGGGTCTTTGTAGTTGAAACTAAAAGAAGAAATTTCTCTTTATAGTAAAAAATGGATTTTTAGTTTTTAAAAATAAAAGAGGAAATAATTAGAATATAATGAACACTCAAATACCCACAATTATTGTTAATATTTGTTATATTTGTTTTAAGGCTTGGGATTTAATTGGTTTCTTCAAATAAAATGTTAATATTTTCTGTAGTCTCTAGAATCACATATTTAAATGGCAAATGTAGGTTGTCATTATGTTGTATATAGTTACAGGTGTATCTCCATTCAGGTTTTCAAGAGTAAGGTTTAGTTCATATAAATAAGCATCTATTGAGCACATACTATGTGCCAGGTGCTCTCTATATTGCTGGGTATACAATGATGAATAAAACACAGTCCCTGCCTTCAAGGACCTAACAGGCTGGTGAGAATGTCTGGGAGACAGTATGATCAATTGCTTCTGTAGATGGGTCTTGCAGTGAGCTTAGAATCGGGGTGCTGCTGTGATTAGAGTTGGGGAGCCCTGGATTCTTGAGTAAGTCTCACTGTGACATCAGCTAAGATGGACTTTTATATGCTTCCTTTGAAGGCATCACGTTGGGTGGTTTCCGTTTAGACCAAGGCCAGTTCAGAACTTCCCGAATGATGGTCCTCCTCCTGATGATGTAAATCAGGACCCCAACAATAACTTACAGGTACGGAGCCTCCCCCAAAGCCCAGGCGAGCTTGACGTGATATGCCAGGCTCTCAAATTCTTAACCTTGAGATTTCCAGCTCGTGGTTTACCATTTTATTGGGCTAAATATTTCATGATTTGTTCACATTTCTTCTTAGAGCAGCAGTTATTTTTAAAACATCAAATGTATCATCACATTCTATCACATGTTTTTGACATGTGGCAATTTGCATTTTGGCTTAACGTTTTTTAAACCCACTATTTTGAGCGTTCAGTGGTCTGTAACTTTGTGTTATACCATAGGAACTGGTATGATGTGATTAACTACTATTTTATTAATAGTTGAAGGCCAGGCACAGTGGCTCACACCTGTAATCCCATCACTTTGGGAGGCTGAGGCAGGTGGATCACCTGAGGTCAACAGTTCGAGACCGGCCTGGTCAACATGGTGAAACCCTGTCTCTACTAAAAATACAAAAATTAGCTGGGCATGCCTATAGCCCCAGCTACTAGGGAGACTAAGGTGGGAGGAGGACAGAGGTTGCAGTGAGCCAAGATCACACCACTGCACTCTACCCTGGGTGACACAGAATAAGATCCTGTCTCAAAAATAATAATAGTTGCAGAACTAGTTGTTTTCATTTGCTCCGATATTTGCTGCCAGGAGTATTCAAAACTATGAAAATATCAACAAACTTGTGCTGTGGAAGACTGAGAAAGAGCCCTATCCATTCTAGGGCATCATTCCCTGGGGTCCTGGCTACCTGGCTGCCTGGCTACCTGTACCTATGGGGCAGAGCTACGCTGGCCTTCCCTGACATCACTTGGTGTTCATCACGGTCCTGATTGTTTTCCCGTTGTGTTTCATTACCTGTAGGAAGGCACTGATCCTGAGCCTGAAGACCCCAACCACCTCCCTCCAGACAGGGACATACTAGGTGGCGAGCAGACCAGCCCCTCATTCATGAGCACAGCATGGCTTGTCTTCAAGACTTTCTTTGCCTCTCTTCTTCCAGAAGGCCCCCCAGCCATCGCAAACTGATGGTGTTTGTGCTGTAGCTGCTGGAGGCTTTGACAGGAATGGACTGGATCACCTGACTCCAGCTAGATTTCCTCTCCTGGATATGGCAGTGATGAGTTCTTAAAAAAACAACATGGATGATGATATGCTTTTGTGATCAAGCAAAAGCAGAAACGTGAAGCCGCGATACAAACTGATGAACAAAAAATGCCCAAGGCTTCTCATGTCTTTATTCTGAAGAGCTTTAATATATACTGTATGTAGTTTAATAGGCACTGTAAGTAGAAGGCCTTAGGTGTCGCATGTTTATGCTTGAGGAACTTTTCCAGATATGTGTGTCTGCATGTGTGTTTGTACATAGACGTCATAGATGCAGAAATGGTTCTGCTGGTACGATTTGATTCCTGTTGGAATGTTTAAATTACACTAAGTGTACTACTTTATATAATCAATGAAATTGCTAGACATGTTTTAGCAGGACTTTTCTAGGAAAGACTTATGTATAATTGCTTTTTAAAATGCAGTGCTTTAAAGTGAGGGGAACTTTGTGGAGGTGAAAACCTTTGCTGGGTTTTCTGTTCAATAAAGTTTTACTCTGAATGACCCTAGCAGAGACTCCTGTCCTAGCGGTTTCCTCTGCGTCTGTTTTATCTAGGTAGTCAGCAGTTGAGTTGCCGGTGTTTAGCCTGAATGCTGCTTTTTTAAAAGAGGAGTTTTTGTGCCAGTGAGATGATCAGGTAAGGCCATGAAAGTTTTTGTTTTTCTTTTTCTTTTTTTTCGAAATGGGGTCTTGCTTTGTTCCTCTACCAGAGTACAGTGGCTACTCACAAGTGGCATGGTAGCGGGCTACAGCCCCAAACTCCTGGCTTAAGTCGCCTCCTGCCTCAGCCTCCTGGGCAGCTGGGACTACAGGCATGTGCCATCACACCCAGCTTGAAAGTTTTAATTTACTAACAATGTGTTTTCCCCCATTTCCTGATTTAAACAGTGCTGGCTTATGTAGGAACCCATCAAAGTTAAATTCCCCAAATTTAAGGTCAGTGGTGTTAAGTACTTTCCACCTTGGCAAATCTGCAATAGTTTCATGTGCTCAAAGGTTATGCTTGTGTAAGCTGAGCTTAAGTTTGTGATTTTAATCCTTTAAGTATTACTGTGGTGACTAATTTTTTTTTTTTTTTTTTTTTTTTTTTTTTTTTTTTTTTTTTTTTTTTTTTTTTTTTTTGAGATGGACTCGCACTCTGTCGCCCAGGCTGGAGTGCAGTGGCACAATCTCAGCCCCCTGCAACCTCTGCCTCCTGGGTTCATGCGATTCTCCTGCCTCAGCCTCTCAAGTAACAGGGATTACAGGCACCCACCACAACGCCTGGCTAATTTTTTGTATTTTTAGTAGAGACAGGGTTTCACATGTTGGCCAAGCAGTTCTTGAACTCCTGACCTCAGGTGATCTGCCTGCCTCAGCCTCCCAAAGTGCTGGCATTACAAGCATGAGCCACTGTGCCCAGCCAGTGACTAATCTTTAAAGCAGTTTTATATATTTTCATATGAGTAATGTTATAGGTAGGTGTTCTTCTTGACAAAGTAAATCTGCCTTTTGTATCATGGTTGTGGTCATTTAAACTCTTATTGGAAACATTGTTTACATAAAATAAACATTTGTTTACATAAAATAAACACATTCACTAAACGACTCATAGCAAGACGCTAGATAGGTACAAAGATATGTCCGGTTATGCTTTCAAAGCCACTGAGATCCTTTTGTAAGGAGTTAAATAGCAAAAAGTTTCAAATAACTGTGTGCCTCTAGAACAGAACTATCAGAAGGCAATAACTGTTCACAAATGAAGAGATAATTTGCTTCAAGGAAGAAATGATTTGTAACTAGAGTAGGTATAGAAATGATGGGGGGGGTGGAAATGAGGTATGAAATTACCTCTCTAGCTCAAGGAAAGAAGGACGGCAGCAGGAGTAAAAAAGCTCAGCCTCAAGACGTGCTCTTCCTGCCAAACAGCTGGATTCTGCACATGCTTGGGAATCAGGTCCTGCTGGTTCAGGAAAACCAACATTAAGAATTCCCAAAGTCTTGGGTGGAAAAGCCCATTGCTTTTCAGAGGCAAGGCCATTACGATTTGGCAAGGGGCCCAAGGCCCCAGGCAGCTGTGGTACCGTCTGTTTCTAAAGGAGTGGGGGTCTCACCCCCTGAAATGTCAGTTTGTAGATTAAACTCTGGGTCCCTCAGGCCCAAAATAAACAGTGCCAGGAAGGTGTCCCTGAACAGAGCTAACCAGGGTTCAGATTGGTGCCCATCCCCACTGGGACAAACGGGACTCAGTTAAAAGCCTAAGACGGCTGACAAGGTGTGACCTGGCAGAAATTAAGTACTTCCACCACAGCCGCTCAATGTGGCATGATCATGGGCCACACACCACTCTAAATACGTAGGAAATTATTGGTTTGGGCCTTTATTATTAAGTAGCAAGTAAGTAACTGAAAAAAACCCAGATTTCAGCTCTGACTATAGCAGCTTTCTACGTCTGTGTTTTTAAGGCGCAATTTCTTGAATCCTAGTTCTGAAGAAGAAACCCCCCCCCCCCCCCCCCCCCCCCCACAAAGTGAGCTTCATGATCAAGTACATTTTGGAACCCTCAGGCTGATCCAAGTTGATGGATTTCTTCACTGCAGGGCTTCTGGGGCCTTTAATATGCCTGAAGCCGAGACTTTCCCTTCCTGAGAACAGCCTAGCACTGATCCATGTGCCTCATTTTGGGAAATTCAGTAATGAGTTACTAAATCAGCACCTCTTTTGGCATTCTACATAGCAAACATACTTTGTTAGATGTGACATTTTACACAATAAACAATGGAGATAAACTTTCAAAAATTTATTTTTGGCTGGGCGCGGTGGCTCACGGCTGTAATATCAGCACTTTTGAGGCTGAGGCAGGCAGATCACTTGAGGTCAGGAATTTGAGACCCGCCTGGCTGACATGATGAAACCCCGTCTCTACTAAAAATACAGAAATTAGGTATGGTGGCAGGTGCCTGTAACCCCAGATACTCAGGAGGCCAAAGTAGGAGAATCGCTTGAACCCAGAAGTGGGAGTTTGCAGTGAGCCAAGATCATATCACCACACTCTAGCCTGGATTACAGAGAGAATCTATCTCAAAAAAAATTATAAAAGTAAATGATTTCTTTTTTATTTTTACCAGTGTTCTACATGTTCAAAGAAACTTCTCTGGTAACCAAGTATAGAAATTATCCATGAAAGTATAGTCTTATAAATACTCTTTACCCAGCCAGGAGGGAGATGAGAAGCCATACCTGCCTACAGTCTGACAGAGGGGGAGGCTCCAGGTCCCCTGGAGAATCCCTGGTTTTATGTAATAATTACTTGGTCCTTTTCAAAGTACTTGGATATGTGTGGGATAATCTCTTTGTTTTACCAGCTAGCCCTGCAATCTAGGTGTTCTTCCGTTTTGTAGAGGCTTGCAGAGATGAGAGACTTGTCCAAGGTCTCAAATCCCTAACAGGCAGACCTGAGACTAGAAATACTGCCTCTCAGGCAGTGGACCTCTTTTGCAATATTTTTAGCCGTCATCATGTGCCAAATATGGCGCGGGGGCCAGGAGACAGAATGGTGCATAGGTTGGGTGTGGCTCCTGCCCTCTTGGGTCTTATAGTTGACTGTGGGTGGCAAGTACCACAGTGATGGCAGACAGGCGTGATGAGTACGAGGATGAGGAAGTAACACCCGCAGCCCCGTCCCAGTACTCCTGTGCAGGAATGGAAGCATGCCACCAACGCGGGCTGCAGGGTGAGCAGCAGTAACAGGCAGAGAGAGGAAGAGAGCTTGGCCTGTGCAAAGGCAGAGGGGACGTGGTGTGGGAGGAACTGAAGAGAATTCCACAGGAGTATGAAGAGGTAGGGAGATTGAGACTGGAGAAAAGGGGGAGCCGGGGGTGCTGATCATACAGAGCATTGAAAGCACAGCACTCTTCAGCCTCGGGTTCCTCCACGATTGGAGGCTGAGCGTGAGTTCAGAGGAGCTTGTGGAAGTCACCCAGTCAGGCCCAGAAATCCTGCAGTACATCCCTTCCATTACCCCTGTCATAACTGGGAGAAGACACCACCCACATGATGCGGGGGGCAGTGTAGGCATGAGCCAGCACCCACACTGTCCCCTACATCTGTCCCCCTTGGCTGTATTTTAGACATCCACTCTCCCTAGAACATTGTAGTCAAACTAAGCAGTGTTACGTTGGCTGGTTGCTCCCAACTACACTGGACAAAGTGGAGAAAAGAAAGGATGAGCTCAGGGTTTCAACTCCCAGCTCAAGCTTTGTTTAAAAGCTGCTGTGACTTCCTTAGAAGAGACCCTTACCTCCTGTAGCTGCAGGGTCGAGATTTCTGAGCTGAAGCGATCTGCCTGCCTCAACCTCCCAAAGTGCTGGGATGACAGGCGTGAGCCACTGTGCCTGACCAGGGCTGAGATTCATGAAAAGGAAACCCAAAGTCTCATCTTGCACGTGGCTGAATTATGACGCAAACCCAATTCCCATATTCCAGGCTTGGAGGGTGTCTTCAGTGAGAGGGAGGGCATTGACTGGAAAAGAATAAGATCCTGAAAATTGGAATGGGAACATAAGGGAAGATTCCAATAAAGTTGGGGACGTTGAATCCTTAAATTCTGTTGTGTTCTCTGCCAGTAGAAACTACTACTACTCATGCCTACACTGCCTTCCCATCTCTGGGTCCAGCTGTGTAGACAGATTTGCAGCGAATGTGCAGGTGTTATTTCCCTACCCTCATACTCATCACTCTTTCTTTTTTTTGCGACAGAGTCTCACTCTGTCACCCAGGCTGGAGTGCAGTGGTGCGATCTTGCTCACTGCAACCTCTGCCTCCTGGGTCCAAGCAATTCTCCTCCCTCAGCCTCCCGAGTAGCTGGGATTACAGGCACGCACCATGGCGCCCAACTAATTTTTGGATTTTTTGTAGAGACGGGGTTTCACCATGTTGGCCAGGATGTTCTTCATCTCTTGACCTTGTGATCTACCCGCCTCAGCCTCCCAAAGTGCTGGGATTGCAAGTGAAGCCACCACAGCTCGGCCTTTTTTCTTTTTTTTGAGCCGGAGGCTTGTGCTATGGCCCAGGCTGGAATACAGTGGCGCAATCTCGCTCACTGCAACTTCCGCTTCCCAGGTTCAAGCAATTCTCCTGCCTCAGCCTCTCAAGTAGCTGGGACTACAGGCACACACCACTACACCCAGCTAATATTTTAAAAATATTTTTAGCAGAGACGGGGTTTCACCATGTTGGCCAGGCTGATCCTGAAATCCTGACCTCAGGTGATCTGCCCTTTTCTGTTTCCCAAAATACCGGAATTACAGGAGTGANTAGCAGAGACAGGGTTTCACCACATTGGCCAGGCTGATCTCAAACTCCTGACCTCAAGTGATTCACCCACCTTGGCCTCCCAAAGCGTTGGGATTATAGGCGTGAGCCACTGTGCCTGACCTCATCACACTTTTTAACCCTTTGAGAAACTACGGCCTTCCCTGAGGTAGCTGCCTGGCAGGGTACTTCTGATTCTTCTTAGATCCTACGCCTACCCC